GTAACCAACATTTATGATTTTTTTTATTATAATTATATTAAAATATAATATTAAAAATTATGGGATAGTAATATATGGGACGGTTCTGCCGATATATTTAATTTGGATATATATAGTTTAAATTATAATTGGCCATTTGATCATTTATTTATATCAATAACTAATTCAAATTTATATAAATATGTAGAGTGCATTTCTGTTCTTAAATTGTATAAATCATAAATACATAAAATATTAATGAAAATGCTGCATAGACATTTAAAGCATGCTTAGAATGAAAATCTTATAATATTTAAATCTTACACATTCTGAGATTATATATACATAAATTATTTATATTTTTGTATTCTATCGTAATTACAAAAACTATTAATAATAAAAGCTCTCAGGCTTTTGGAAAACATGCGTGATACTCGAGGTGAAATTCTTTGAGTTATATTATTTAAACATTCTTTTCTCAAATTGAAGAATGTGTCATTGTAAGCAGTAGTAAATCGGATGTATTTCTGCTTGTATATATATATATATATATATATATATATATATGTGTGCCCTATGCATTTATAAACCAATTGGCATAAAAATTTGGGAAAATGTTAGGTATACCCAAACGCAGGTTTTCACATATTCTCATTAAACCCAAATGGTAAGGGTTGGCCACTCTTAAAACTTTTTTTTATTTTTTCAATCAATTTTTATTTACTTTATTTTCTATAATGCGTATATGGAAATACAAAACCTTAAGTTTCTACTCTCTAACCACAAAATTTTATTTTGTAAGAATTATTATAGTAATTACAACATTTCTTTTCTCGATTTTGGACAGTCTCGATTTTTGAGCTTATGAAACAGCATAATTAAAAAAAAAATTATAATGTATAATCTTTGTAAAAATATGTCTACGTATATTTAGCATTTGTTAAATAATGCAGCTCTTATCGCCCCAAAAACGGACAGATAAAAAATTTTAGCAAAAAATAGCATATAAACATATTTCAGTATTTGGGCAAAAACTGGGAAGATTTTTTAACATATTTTGAACGTTTGTCTTATGGTGTGGGTTATGTGCTGTGATGTATGTTGTTTGGTTTTTACTGTACAATTACTGAATTTTGAGAGTCAAAAATACTCATATGCTTATAAGCCTTTATCAATATTAAAGCCTTCATCAATAATGCGTTGCTGAAGGGGATATTTCACTCGAAGATGAACCTAATACAACTCAACAATCAATCACAAAACACACGTACGCTATTTTCCAGCTTAATAACTTAATTTTAAAGTAGCTATCAACATGAAGTTAGAGCTTTTAAAAAATTTTTAAATGTACTAGCGCAGGATACTTAGCTAACAGGATAAATATAAAGTTTTTAGAAAAATCGAAATCGAAATCGAAATCGTACTGGTGCTGAATATATAAATTACATTTTATAACGTATGTTGTTCGGGCGTATTTTCATTTTATTATATTGGCCATGAAGGGGACAATCTTCATGGCATTGAGCTTTTACATAAGATGGTTGCTACCCCTGGTAGAGGGGGTAGCGGAGAGTTTGACGGGAATAATTGTTCACTTCTAAAAGTGAGTAAAACGTAACCTAAAATCCGTAAAACAACATGTATAATAAATAACCAATAAATATATCTTCTTTTTTCATTATAACTTAGTAACAAATCAGTGATTGTAATTAGAATTGCAACAAATACACAATATATAAAAAATCAGTGTTTAATACAGTCCACAGCTACAAGGGTTAAATTATAACCCAACAACCTGAGTTAACGAAGGTTAATAAATTTTATAATTATGTAACACAAATACATATGTGCAGATACTTTAATATGTTTAAAAAATCATTCTACTGCAAAAATTATTTTATAAAATCAAATATTATATACCCATGCAGATACCTAAGGTCATGAAGAAGTTTCAATGGGTTCATAAAATTATTTTATTACAACCATTATGATTTAAAATTAAACTAAAGTACTTAACCTTTAAAAAGCTTTAAATTACGCGATGTCGTAATGCAAATTCCATTACTTATTAAAGTTGTGTATAATTAAATCCTAATTATGAAATGCGCTTAATGACACGGAATGTTAGCGCCGATGCCAGTTTGTTGTATGTTTAAGAATCTAGATCATATTTTGACGTCACGGCGTGCAATGTGGGTTGCGTCGGTAGTGTTATGCATGACCTGACATTAAAAGCAAATTACCTTCATTGCCTGCATAAACCTGTATTTATAATAAAAGATATTTTTATATATTTTTTAAAGTTATCATGCAAATCTAAAAATTTTTGCATATACCGTACTTCGATCAAGATAATGACCGTGGCGCTACGTTGAATTCTTTGGCGTTGGATATAAAAGATTCAGCGATAATGCATGAACTATTAAAATTTTTAAATTTTGATACCACACGACGATATACATGAATTATGGAAATAAATTATTGCGATAGTTATCAATTTACTATAACGACCGTCATAAATTTTCATTTCTGTTCGTTATGCAATTTAGCCAATAAAGAAAAACATTACTTCAGTTACATAAAATTATTATTATTAACAAGAGCGTATAAAATATTGATTTGAAAATTGTAGCAATTAATTTATGTTTTATAATTAACATACTTATATGAATCACTACATGTGACCTAAATAATATTCATTTATATCTGTTATTTATTTGTTTAATTACATATTCTTTATATGAAATGGTGTCAATGTTCATTTATTTACTTATTCATAAGATATGAAAGAACATAATTAATATTATTGAATATTGCATATTGTTTCTGTTGAATTAATTATTTAGCAATAAAAAATTTTAAACTATGAAGAAATTATAATTATAAATATTTATATATACAGATAAAGTATCAATATATCGGCCAAATTTCTCAATGCATGTATATAAGGATGAAACAACATTACAGTGTCTTTATCGTAAACATAGGGATTTTTATATATTTCTAGTCCAACATTATATTGAAAACAAAACTTATAATTATAATCATATTTAATACTGCATTTGCACTTAAGAGACTGTTTGCCGTAAGTTTTCTCTTTTCCGACAATTCTTCTAATAGCTTCTAACAAAAAATCTGATCATAATTTTTTAGATCAAGTTTTTATATAATTTTGCTGATAAAAAGCCAAATATATTTTCTGAAATAAAAGCATATGGAACATCTGCATTCCCTTATAATAAGCTCTAAAGCAAGTGGCTCTATTCTCTACAAAAACCAATAATTTTACATAAAATAACACATATCAAACAAACAATAATGTGACTATATTCAGTAAAACTGCCTGATAATTTATTTTTGTAAAAATTAGTTTTTTGCTGTTTTTATTTAAATTTGCCACCTGGTATTTTTACCCCATAGGCAAATAAAATGGGACGGCTTAGAGGTAAACTTAGGTCCAAGCAATAAGGAACAATTCAGCAATAAGGGACTATTCTCTACAAGAACTTCTCCATATTTACACTGATTTATAGTACCGTTTTTACAGAGTACACTTTCAAATTATCACTTACTTTGGTCTTTAAATTAATGTATAAGTTTTTAATCTGCTTGTCAAGAAAACTTCAAAATTATTTAGGTATGTTTCTATTAATTAAAACTATTAAGATTCATTGTATATTTTATAGATTTAGGTTTTTGATTTTACTTAACGAAATGCGAATGACGCACTTCTTTAAGTGGCTTAATGCATTTTTATTGCTCGATATTATCACGTGCTAATTAAGAGTTTGCATTAAATCAGATCGGAAGAAATGATCGTATAAAACTTAACACATGAAATATATTCATAAAGAAGAGATTTTTCATAGCTAAGTGGTAAGAGCTTCTGCCTTGCAACTAGAACGTATCGAACAGTCTGATACCAAGCAGTAGTGATATCGAATTTTACTTGAATACTTAGATGAAAATATGTCTACAAGTGTGAAAAGCTTTTTCCTGGCATTGCTGCCTCAAAACAAATTATTATTATTAAAAATAACTAAATTCTAATATATTATTATAAATTAACTAAATTCTAATAATACAAACATATCAAATATAAAAAGCCAACCGATGGGCATTCTAAAATACGAAAAAGTTCATTAATAATTATTAATTAATAGCTCGTAGAACTACTAACGTATAAGTTTTGATTGATGTTGGAAGTGAAAAAATAAAAGAAAATTCTAAACAAAATTAGTGTTTAGATTATTGTAGAATATCAAATATTAACTTCCGAAGAAGTTTATTTTCATAAAAAATCCGATTCATTAGTTTTATTTTTTCTCGACTTTTCAAGCTATTCTGAATCGAATGAGACCAAATTTGGAAAAAGTATGTGTATGTTTGTGTGTATGTTAGCCGATTTTTTATGAACGGAATTATATTTGATAATGACATATGAAAAAAAAACTCAATAGATAATTTTTAAAGATAATAGTTTAGTTTTATATTGCAGTGATTTACTTCTGACGAATAAATAATTTCAGTTTATCATTGTTGTTCAAGTAAAATGAAGAGCAAACACAATCTTACGTAAAAGATGTATATAAAACATTTTTGTAAAATTGTACAAGTTTTCACTTGACTACATTTGTTACTTACTATGATAAATTGTCTAATCTTTTTAGAAAACGTAGCTCCTATGCACTTCACAATTCAATATGATCACAAAATCATTTTATACGCAAGCCTTTCAAATTAATCATCATACATGTAAAACAAGCCATTTATCTCATTTATATTTTGATTTAAACATTTATTGAATAATAAAATCCATTTTATTACCACTTTGCGCTTGGTATAAAGCCGTCAATATCAATAAATTATTTGTTTTATTTGCCTTTGCAGTAGGCAGTTTTACCTCGCGCTGTCTCGACGCATATCCTCATTATATTACTTGCAGCATCCAGCGCCTCGAGAAGACTTCTTTTATTGTTCGCACTCGAATGCGCATAGCAAATTACTTCTTTAGTATGCAAATGGCTTATTGCAAACCGAAAGATCTTCCTATTTATTCATTACTAACAACGTAAGTCACAATTTGCTAAGCCGAGAATGGAAGATGGAAATCTACAGTTTATAGTCTTTGTATAAAATCATACTTTATCTTCATGTTTCGAGATAAATATGTAATCAATTACGTACCTCAATCACATATGTCATAGTCAAATAAAATAATTTATGTTGACATACTAATTGTAAGATTAATTATACGATTTTCATATCAAGCATAAAATCTTTCTTCATAGTTAAAGTTACTCTTCAAATGATGAAAAATGATGGGTGCTTTTTATTAACAATATTCAAAATAGAAAATTGTTATGTTTATCTAATAGGCCTATATCATATTAAGGTGACCGTATTTTTTGAGACAAAGCCGGGACGGCAACTTTAAGTTTTGCTATTTTAAATATATCATATATTATTTCTTTATAATTAACTTTAGTAAAAGTTTGTTTTCATAATTTTTAGTAATTTTCGTAAAATTGAAAATGAAAGTACAAATTTATCAATGTGAGTTGCTATTTTAATCGGCTTTTGGAATTTTGCATTAGGCAATTTTTTCATTTAAAAGATATTGTTTAGGTAGGTAACGATACTCGTTGTATATATCAAATATTTTATGGATTGTTGTAATTTTATTATTAAGTAACTGCAATTTATACATGTACTTTTTCGAAACCCTGCAAATATTGCTTTCAGAAAAACCCGGGACACAAGGTGAAAATCCGGGACTGTCCCGGCCAAACCGGGGCGTTTTGTCATTTTACGTATTTCTGATAAAAATAGATATTGCTTTTATTAAATTAAACTTATAAATGAATTTAAAAATATATTCACAACCATAGGTATAACCTTGCAATTTTATCTTCATTTTTATAAATAAACAAAAATATTGAAATCAATGATTCCTTCTAGAAATTTATCAGACTATTTTGGCTTGATTAAATAAGACTTTCTTTCCAATATTATAATATCTTCTGCTTCACAAAAATTCACAATTATGATTTAAATTTTTTTTCAATTCACGCAACTTTTTCACTCGATAAGCAAATTTCTTTCCAATATTATAGTAATATTTTCTGCTTTATATAAACTATTTACAGCCATAATTAAAATCACGGAAGTTTTAAAAAAGTTTGTTGTCTTGATTCTCAATCATAAATATATGCAAAACTTCTTCACAAAACAATCGCATTATTAATATATTAGCAAAATGTTTATACAATGATTTTAACATTTTTTATTTTATATACTATGAATATATTCTTGAATATTTTATTCAGGCTCGTCTTGTTTATGCTATATTATAATTTAATTAATTGTGACATTTCTTTAGCTAAACTTTTAGTATGAAACTTATTTTATTACATTTTAAAGATATTTATCAAAAATATTTTTTCATTTCCAAACTGTCTCTACCTTATTAACATGTTTTTTTTTCTTTTCACAGTGTTTGCAACAAAGTTGGTTGCAAAAAGAATTACAGCATCAAACCAAGAGTTGTTCTACCTGAACACTATGTTAAAGGTGAACAAATTAGACTTATTCTTGAATCTTATTCTTGAATTTAATTTAATACAATTATATATAATTAAAATTACATTGAATTATCTAAAACAATTGCAGTTTTCCAACTATAGTAAGTGTGGAATATAACATGGAAATATTTTTAATTAAATTGAATATTTCATTATATTATGTGGTATCTCACATTGAAATTAATATTTTTTAATTATGTTTGATTCAAAATTGCCCAGTAACAGTATTTAGTACTTAGATCTTATTACAATTAAAAGTATCTTATAATTTATAAATTGTTTGTTCTTGCAGAAGTTCGACCACCTTCTCGGAAAGGACATCCAGTAATTGTCGACTTTAGCATTTATGTAGTAGACATAAATTCAATCAATGTAGAAGACATGGATTTTCGGTAAGTTTTTATTTTTTGAATTGAATAGTAATTTAAACCATTCAGTAGATGATGAAACAGACATATGCATGGAAAATAATTCATTTATTATTGTTAATTTATGCATTACCTTACCGACAGTTACTGACAGTGTATGAATATGAATATGTTACTACTATGATGTAAATTATGAATAGATATGTACAAATATTTGAATAGTTGGAACATCCTTATTGCTAAGGATACAATTTCTAATAATCGACGTTATACGCTCTACGCATTTCTCAATAAAATAAAATATTACTGTTTAAATTTATTTTAAAGGTTTCTATGAATTATTAATCTACAATTGCTTATATCAGATATTATTGATATTCAGAAAACATTTATATAATAAAATCAAAACCTTGTCTTTACTTCCTTTTGTTAAGCATTCGCATTCTCAATTTATTCTGAATTTGTCTGAATACTAATAATGTTATAAAAATGAAAATGTCTCTATTCAATAATCCACAATGCGACTATTTTCGATTCCTTTAATAATAATAATACTTACATTACTTATAATTAATTTCAGTTACAAAAGTAATATAATAAAATATCATGGCATAAAGAGTAATTTGACTTTCTCTTCTGTAGTTATTTTTTACCTTCATTCCACAAATTAAATAAAATTAAGAAAATTATAAACAAATGGGCAGTACTCTCAATAAAACGGATTAAAATAGATGAATTATTTTAAATTACTTTATTTTATAAACAACGGTTATATATTTTTATCTAGCTAAATCTTTTATATTCCAAAATATATTACTTCTCATTTTCTTTTCCTATTTTTGTGTTGATCTTGGGCGATTTGTATGCTAACCCAATATTGGTTTGTCGGATTCATTTTTACACAAACCGGCTAGATTGTGGCTTTATATTTGCGAACACATATGTACTGATGATACTGGACTTTATAAATATATATATATATATATATATATATATATATCGATTCCATCATAGATTATATATTTTCATTAGCTATCATATAAAAAATAACTACATAAATATTGTAATGTTTTTTAATTAGAGTAAATTTTATGGATATATTTTGTAAAATTATGCCTTGAAAACAATACGTTCAAACTCCGACTTACTTGCTTTTTTATGAATAATTAAAAATCCTGGATTCATTTACAATTATAATAAATTTGATTAAATTTAGAACGAGCACTTAGCACTTCAAGCAAAATTGTGTACTTTGTAATATATCACGAAAAAAGTGTAACATTAGCTACTTTTCACGAAGCGATAAAATCTTTCCTTTCCTTTATAACGTAGACTGGTTTATCGTTTATATCGTTTTAATGTCTTCATTACTACATTTTTTCCTGTATCAGTATTTAAAATGAATAATTTGCGATGTTGTTTCGTGAACAGTAATTGTGCATATCAAAATTTATTGCACACGGTGTATATTATATTGAACAAAAGCTAGAATATGTACGAGCTGTTCATGGCTCGTTTTCTTATCTTAGCCCATTATAAAATAAGAACAAAAAAGCTGTATAATTTCTTTGGAGCTTTTACACGGCAACACACATAATGTATAATGAAATATACAATTTACGGTATTTGAGAAAAAGGTAGGCAAAGCTTTTTGCTTGCTTTACTGCGCGCAAATTTGTAAATATTAATGAAATACTCGAAAAATACATCCATAACTGCTCATAGGTTTTCGAACAAAATCAGGGTTCAATCCATTGGATAAAGTAATTGTTAAAAAAAAAAATTTACTTTCCCATGAAAGGGCAATGATATTCACCTTATCGAGATCCAATCATATCCAATTTTTTTCTGGTGTTAAATTGTTAATTGAAATAACTTTATATGATTTCGATTCGTTTATCATTCTTTATTGATGACTTTTTGCGATAAATGGTCCTCAAATTTTGTTTGGTTTAAGTAAACCAATATTGCTAAAAACATATACTCGAAGTAAAATTACCTTTACATAACTATCATTTTTCTTTCCTTTCTGGGTATACTTAACAAAAGTTATTTTATTTACTACTGTCATAATTTTTTACAAAAAAATCTTTCTCATTGTTTTATTAGAATATGTATTACTTGCGTTATTACTACAACTAATGGACCATAGCATGTGTCCTAAACAAATTGCTGGAACTTCTGAGTTAAACATTCCCAATTTTCAATAAAAAGTTATCAATGAGCAAGAACAATTTGTTTTAAAAATTTTAAAATGATTATTATAAATGCTGTAAATCGTATTTTATAGATTTAACACAATATAAGTGCTTATATTTAGGCGACGATTTTTATCTATATTTCTCTACAAGAACAAAAACATCATAAACGACACAAGCAATATGCTTTTTGAGTCACTCTAATCGGATACGCCATTTTCTCAAACTACCCTTTTTGCTGCATATCTCCGATTCGCAAAAATGTAACAAGATATTCACTAAATCAATAAGAATCGAATTCAAAAATTTTCATGTTCCATTATTTTGCGATCACTATAACGTACCCTACGAGAAGTTACAGTAATATTTGTCAAGTTTATGTGCAAATGATTTGCAAATTATAAATATTTATTAATCAATTAATTGTTATAAGATATTTTAAAATCATTTTATAAAATTAAATCGTCCATACTATATTTATAAGTGTACATTTTAAATTTATTACCAACGGACTCTAACCTTTCATATTAATTAACAATAGAACTTTCGCTTTCAGTTTGTATTATCAATAACTAGTAAATTCAATCCTTTTAAAAATAAATATTACACAACAAGTAAATATTTATTGACAATATATCGTACTAACAAAAACTTTTTGCTTTTACATTGTATATTAAATTTAATGAGCCAAATTCAAATCGCTTATTAAACCATAATTTCTATTCCAATCGAAAGTTTTGCTATTCACGCCGTTCGAGATGAATGAGGATACGTTTTATTCAGCTTTCTACGTTTATATTAGTTCCACATATTTCTAATCAAAATTGTAATTATGTTCCCAGTATATAGACACTGTGTTATTCAATATAAAATTCTTCGGCATTTATTGTCAGTCATTATGGATGGATTTTTTACAAATCAAAACTTTCATTTTGCAAGTGATTGGAAGACAAAAAAATTGAAATAGATGAGCAATCCTTTCAGATAGTATGATCTACATATATGTATCTAATAAGTTCATTACTGATTAATTTCTAGAAATAAAACTTGTTAGTTATTTTCATTTTAATTTCAACAACAGCAATTAAAAATATAATTAAAAGTAAAAGTAATACTGTAATCAGTAATACAAATAAGTAAAATTAAAATAGGGAAATACTTATCCAGTTTTGGAATTTTGGATCACCAAAGGCAATGATATTTTAATGATTAAAATGATAATTTAATCAACATTACAACCTTTTGTTACTTACAAAATACTTTTTTGTGCATTTTTCTAAATCTTTTTCATTTAATGATAATGAACATACCTACCCATGAAAAAATTATGTGCGTAACACAGAAGTACTCCTTGGGACCATTATTTATTACCTGTATGGTAAATTTATTTAATATTTCTCAATTTAATTAAGTATTCGATTAGTTAATTGGGTATATATTAATCATTGATTTGATTATTAATTACATCTTATCTTTTGAAATTTTCGTCCTTTGTTTTATTAACTTCCCATAGGGTAAGTTATTGTAATCGTCCAGAAATCAAAATGAAAATTTTTGCATTTCTCGACGTTTTAAAGGTTTCTGAACTTTTTGGCATACCTCAGAAAAAATGGATGTGTGTGTATGTGTATATATGGATACAAATTTTCGGTCAAGTTTTCGGGCGCAGCGATCAACCGATTTGAATGGTTCAAAAAATATTCGATTCCTATTGATTGCGAAATGTGCTGACTAGTTTTTGGCAAAGGCAGGTCCAGCAGTTACGGATATAAAGAGAAAAGAGTGCAAAAAATAGAAATCGAGTTTTTGAGAGAATGGAGCATTCGGTTTGAATGAACTAAAGTTGTAATATACTTTAAACAAATAGTTTCAACATTGCAATTCAGTTTATATAATTCTTATAAATATTAAACAATGTATATTAATCTATTTGAAAACATTTAATATTTCTCGAACATTTCGTTACGGTACGGGAAGTTCCAACAATTTGCCTTAAGGCACGATGCCATACACCCCACTAGTTTACTTTGTTTTTATTATGAATGTATGTAGTTAACGGAGTAACAAAAGACATAAATATGTCATATTTCAATTTTTATTTGATCAGTATTTTGCAAATGCAACTTTTTGCAGATTTTCTCACAAAAATTTTTTTATTCATTCAAAAAATAATTATAATTCACAAAAAATATGTACTTCAAAAGTACTGAAATTTAAAGAAAAATATTCAAATATTTTGTTATTCCTTCATTGTCGTTACTTGCTCATTTCGTTTATTGTTCCACAATCCACTTCTAGCGGAAATTACAGTAAGTTTATGTTTGTAATTTAAACAAAAGAGAATATTGTGCTAGTTTAACAAAGAATGGATTAGTTAGTTCGTTTACAGGCTTCTTAGCACTTGGAACAATGTAATTACTGATCGTAATATCGTTTGTGAAAACTACATTCTACTTTAAATAACTTTGCTACTGTTAAAATAGCGGCGCTTGGATTGTTATGAAGCAGAATGACAATCACATTGTAGTTTTCGCAACGGTAATGTGGCTTTATTTTAGTTCGTTTCTAATTAAAACTACACAAGTGTACTTATATATATATATATATATATATATATATATATATATATATATATAATGTATGTATTTTTTGTACAAAAATTTAGCTATTTTCAACTGAAAGAATTATAACCGTTTTACTTGTTAGTGGTTAATCTTCAATATCGTTTTGAATTAATTTATCATAGAAAAAATTTTTTTTTGTGCGAGTACGTGATACTACATTCTATAAAAATTGTAGAATAATCTATAAGCTGGCATTATCCGT